AAAAAAAAAAACAACGAAGACAAATCCATCTAACCCATTTCAGAATGGGCAGTGACTTTCCAAGCTAAGAAGAGATTACACTGGGAAAACGTAGACTGCAAAAAAGTTGACATTTCTGTACATCAAAAATATCCCAACATTAAAGTCAAGCAAGCCTCACAGGAAAAGTCTTTGCAACCTTAGGGTATATTTTTCCATGAATTGTCTGCTAATGTCCTTGCTGCTTTTCTGCTGGAAGCATTAGGTTGTCTGTTTGTTTATATATTAAACAGGAAAGGCTGCTTATTTTGAGCCCTTTGCATTTTGAACTCGTGATTGGATTGTCTATTAAATAAAAAAGAAAACCTAAATATAAGTCAAATAAAACCTTTTGGTTGATTCTGCATGAACAGTTGACAAATGAAAATTTCATACTAAAAAGTTTCCAAAGGGAAATTTCTACCATGGCCCTCAGCCCAGAGACCGGGAAAGGCAGAACTGTGGAGATGACTAAGCTGGTCAGTAGCAGCCCCCATGCTCACTGTCTCACTTCCAAGCACCCCATTCCCCAAGCCCCTGCACCTCCTTCACTCACTGTCTTGCGCCATCACGATCTGCTCTCAGAGGCGCGTTGATGAACTCCTCCATGCTAGGGGGCTGAGGATCCTCGAGGAGCTGCTCACTCTGCCTTTGAGTGTAGACACCATTCCATTCTAAGACCTAACTTCAACATTGCTGGTGTGGGCTGTGAAAACTTAAAAGATGATTGATGGTGATGTTGCCTTGTTTTTTGTTTTTTGTTTTTTGTTTTTTTGAGACAGGGTCTCACTCTGTCGCCTACAGCTGGAGTGCAGTGGCGTGAACATAGCTCACCTCAGCCTTGACCTCTTGGGTGCAGGCCATCCTCCCATCCTGGCCTCCCAAGTAGCTGGGACTACAGGTGTGTGCCATCATGCCCAGCTAAATTTTGTATTTTTTTTTTTTTTTTTGAAGGGGGTTTGTCCTGTTGCCCAGGCTGGTCTCGAACCCCTGGACACAAGTGTGATGTTGCTTTTCGATAAGGATCTGAAAGAGCTGAGTCCTGACCTACAGAACAGACTGTGAAAGAGCCAAGAGTCATTTTCCCTAATGGCAGCTGCAGGCAGAGTGTGTGTGTGGTGGCAGAGTTGGGGGGGGGTACGCTCGCAGAGGATGTTGTGTGGTCAGCAGGTAGGTGATGGCCGGGCTGCCTCCTCACCCGCTGGGTGCTCAGCATCCCGACTCTCCTCTTTGCTCCTGGCTCTTCCAGCCCAGGCCTTCACTTGGCCAACACAGCCTGGAGGACAAAAAAAGTACCTCTTCTCTGCCCGAGCCCCCTCCCACCTACACACGCCGTGGCAGAACAGCTCGCCCCTCTTTGGGCATGGGAGATGATGGCGCCGGTGGGAATCCCCTTCTTCCCCGGCAGTGGTCGCTGTCCCTCCTGAAAGCGGTCAACGGTCACCCTCACTGCCAGGACTCTGCACTGTCCCAAGCCTCCTCCTCTCCAGACCTCCCTCGCACCTCTCCCCGCTCTTCTTGTCCTGGTAGGGTCCAGGAAAGGCTGAAAAGCTACGGATAGCCCCACGCTGCCCCCCAGGCTGCGGGTGACCTCGCAGTCGGAGGCTGGTCCTGTGACCCGCCCTGCCCGGCTCCCGGGCCTCGGGGAGCCTTCTCAGGCAGAGCCGCAGCGACACCGTGTGGTAGAAGTCCGCCGGCACGGCCACACGGCTCAGAGCGGGCCCACAGACGTGCTTACAACAGCTCCCTGTCGACACCGGTGCTGGCGACACGCGAATGCAAACACACCCTCTTGCTGTTCTCAGCGTTTGGGGCTTGCCTGTGACGGTAGGAAAAGAAATGGCCTTGCTGTGCTACAATCGGGCTGCAGTCAGCGCTTCGATCCTGAGACGTAACTCCGATGATGCTTGCCCACACCACCCAGGTGTTCCAGCCTTTCCCCATGCATTGAAAGGCTGGTCTTGCTGTAAGAAAAGAACGACTGATTTTTCTGATTTCTTAAGCCTTGTAGGCTGTACAAAAGGTAGACATGCTAGTGAGAAGCCACCAGAACCAGTCAAACCTGAAGTCAAGACTACTGAGAAGAAAGAACTATCTGAATTGAAACCCAAATTTCAGGAAGACATCGTTCAAGCCCCACAGTCAGTAGAAGCAATAAAAAGGCCAAGCCCAGATGAGCCAATAACGAATTTGGAATTAAAACTATCTGGTTCCGCCAAACAAGCACCTGATAAGCTGTCATCACGGAATGAAGAAGATAAGAAAGAAGACAATTGGGCCAGGTGCTGCGGCCCACACCTGTAATCCCACCACTTTGGGAGGCCAAGGCGGGTGGATCACGAGGTCAGGAGTTCGAGACCAACATGACCAACATGGTGAAACCCTATCCCTACTAAAGATACAAAAAATTAACCGGGTGTGGTGGCACACACCTGTAATCCCAACTACTCGGGAGGCTGAGGCAGGAGAATCTCTCCAACCCAGGAGGCAGAGGCTGCAGTGAGCCAAGATGGCGCCATTGCACTCCAGCCTGGGAGACAGGGTGAAACTCTGTCTCAAAAACAAAAAAAAATGAAGAAGACAATGATGAAATTAAGATTGTGACCTCATGTAAGAATGGAGGGTGTTCAAAGACATATCAGGGTGCAAGAGTCTAGAAGAAGTCTGTGTATATCATTCTGGAATACCTATTTGCCATGAGGGAATGAAACACTGGAGCTGTTGTCGAAGAGAAACTTCTGATTTTAAGACATTCTTAGCCCCAGAGGGCTGTCAACAGGGAAACACATGTGGACTGAAAAGGATGCTGGGAAAAGTTGTTCCATGTAGACCTGACTGGCATCAGACTGGAGTGAAGTTACCATTTCAGTATGTGCTTAAAATTCACTTCCAGAGCTCACTCGAGTAGAAGCAAATAGCACGCTGTTAAATGTGCACAATTGTATTTGAAGGAGAGAAAGAATTTGATCAAAATGTGAAATTATGGGGTGTGACTGATGTAAAGCAAAGTTATGTCACTATGACTGCAACGAAGATTGAGATCACTGTGAGAAAAGCTGAACCGATGCACTGGGCAAGCCTTGAACCGCTGCAGCCAAAGAGCAGAAAAACAAAGACACCCAACGGAGGGAGCATGAGATGGGAAGAAGGCTATGATGCATTTCAGAATTCTTCATAGTGTGTGAAGTGGCGGCTTGCTGTGTCGTCTTTTGTTTTGGTGTTGTGTTGCTGGATCTGGCATTTCAGGGTTCACATTAGGTTCTTAAAAGCCAAAGTCAGTGTGTCTTTTTGTGTCTCTCATCTTTCTTGTGTGTTATGTAAGATTGACTATTCATTTCTCCTTACTGGTGGGAACCATACTTGTGTCCTGTACTTGAAGAGGCTAGAAAATAGCCCATAACCATAAATGCAGTATTTCTTCGTATTTCTCTGTTAAGCAGAGAAATATTAAGGAACGTGATTTTTACGTCTTTCTATTATTCCATAATTAGTAAAGCAAGATGAAATGTCAGTTTTTAATCAGTTTTTTCTTGGATGTGTGTTCTTACAATACTTGAAAATATTTAAGGAAGAGATCAAGTTGTTTTTTCTATGTGGGATGATTACTTTTTTAAGGAGGACTAATTCTGAGGTAGTGTAGTAAGTAAAGGGGAATATATGAATTGTTTAACAAATTAGAATTTGTTTACAACTAATTGAATTTTTAAATTATGTCAAAACTTACATTACTTGCCAAGCAGTATGATGTAAAAGTATAGGAAACATAAGTAAGAATACAGAGGTATCAATCTGGCTACAATTCATCATTTTATAAGACTAAGTAATAATCTTAAATATCTCTGTCCTGAATATTTAAATGGGTTTGTATGGTGTTATGACTAAATTGTTACTGATTTAGAGACTGAATCCTCTTAAAACCTTTAATTTGTTACATATAAAAAGAAATTATGTATATGTATCTTGCCTCCCTGATGGAAAACTATCTAAAATTGTAGACTTAAAAGGTTTGTGGAAATACATTAGGATATCAGAAAACTAAATATATGGACTTGCTTTATGACCCTCTATGACATGTTAAATAAAATAGCCTAATTCTTAAAAAAAAAAAAAAAAAATAGTTTACCGTCTAGTAGCTGCGGTCTTCCCTAGATCCCAAGAGAGTCCCATCCGCCTAGACTGAGGGACATCTGTCAAGATAAGGTCCCAGCCATATCCCTGCCCCCACCCCCCGCCACCCACCGCCCCACACAGCAAAACACCGAGAAGGGAGCGAGTTTCTGAGTCAGGTGGACTTTGTCACTTCCACCTCCTCTGTTTGGCAGATGTCTGAGCTTAGGCAATTACAGAACCATATCAAGCCTCAATGTCTTGTCTCTAAAATCGGAGTCATAAAAAAAAATAAATTAGGTAATTAAAAATGTAGAGCAGCAGACAGCAGCAGGTGTCCAAGAAACAATAGTTTCCTTCCCCTTCTGTCTGGGTTTAGAGACTGAGAAACCTAGATTGGCTGAAAGGCAAGGCCAAGAAGACGGTCAAAAACCAATGCCTAGGATGAGAAAATTTCCCCTCAGCTCCTGCAAGAAACCATTCTTCATTATTTCATCAGCTACTTTTTGCCTCTCTGAACACCTTCCATTTGGGCTACAAACCAACCTGGTTTGCCAGGCACTAAGGAATGTTCTGGAAGATGAGGCCTTCAGGGCTAAAACTGGGCAAAGTGGTCTCCCGGTCCTGTGTTGCCTCACAGTCTAGCTCCAGGACTTCATAAGTAGAGTTGATAGACTCTCTGGGGCTTCGGACTAGGCACGGTGGCTCACGCCTATAATCCCAACACTTTGGGAGGCCAAGGTGGGAGGTCAGGCTGAGGTTGGGAGTTCGAGACCAGCCTGACCAACATGGAGAAACCCCATCTCTACTAAAAATACAGAAATTAGCCAGGCATGGTGGTGCACACCTGTAATCCCAACTACTCAGGAAGCCGAGGCAGGAGAATTGTTTGAACCTGGGAGGCAGAGGTTGCAGTGAACTGAGATGGTGCCATTGTACTCCAGTCTGGATGACAGAGCGAAACTCTGTCAAAAAAAAAAAAAAGAATTATCATCTATGGGGCTGTACCCCAGGAATGTGCTTTGTAACAAACTCCCCAGATGATTCTTACAAACATCAATGTCTGCAAGGCACGGCTCCAACACTCTCAGGCTGTGGTTTCTCGTTGACACCTAGTGCAAGTCATTAAGCCACCTGAGGCAGGGCATGGCACGTGCTTAGGGATGAGACTTTGGAAAGACTGCAAAGAACTCTCTAAACACCAGGCTTTGGCTCTGAATCTGCAAAGCACACCAGAAGCACCTGGACACATGCCCTCTTCTCAGCTTTAGAGTTTGTGTCCATGTGCTGCTTCTCCACTTTCTGCCATTCTTTCATTAAATATTTGTTGAGTACCTACTAGCTTGGTAGTAGGAACTGATATCCTGGTGATGTAAGATAAGCAATTAACACATGTATAAGCATGATAAATTTATATCATAATAAATATAATAAGAAACAGACAAGCAGAGTGATTTGATGGGGAGAAACTATGTTCAAAGGCATCTTTGAGAAGGTGGTATCGGACTGAGCCCTGATGGTTGAGCAGACAGCCATCCTAAGATGTGGGGGAAGCTATTCTTAGGGAGGAATGGCCATTGCAGAAGACCCAAGGCAGAAACAAGGACTAGGAAGACAAGAGCA